TTATTTTCTATCGTTAGAGAAATCCTTATTTCATTACGTTCACCCGGTCTTTGACATCCACACCATTTACAATCTATTACATTAGTCCTCAAAGTTGTTTTTGTGTTTCCCATTATAGCTGTGGTCAAACCCATTAGCTGAGGGGCAAAGCGACATCTGTTACAAAAAAAAATACGTGTTACAATTAATGGGCGGTAAGCGCATTCATGGGAAAATTTACTGAGCGGTGGGGAACCATTAAATCAAAACGGTTTAACATTACAATAGTTGTTAAGGATGTACTTGCTAGAGGTTTTTTTCTGATTTGTTAATGTAATAACAAATTCGAAACCGACTTTCTTCGAAATTAAAATTCCCAGTCTACAAGAAAAGAAGTTAATACATTCTTGTCTTCAAGGTCAGAGTTTGTCGTGCCTGTCGATGACACCAGTTAAACTTGATCCTTTTAACTTTACATCACGCTGTAATATTGCCTGCACCTGTCTTGCGTTGTTATGCTCTGTTGAACATGCGTAACGTTAATACTCTGTGTGGGTTTTTTTTTAAATTACCACCAAGAGTAATTGTTTGTTTCACATTCCTATGCGGCACAGACATCCTGGCACGGTGCACGGGTCCGTGACTTCTAAAAGATGTCCAACCTGTTTTATTTAGCGTCCGTCACATCCGTATACGATGAAAGGAACAGGTGAATACAGGCAGACACTTTATTTCTAAACTGATGAAATAAGTAAGCTATTTTTCAAACTTGACAGCTTATGGGGCAGGTGAAACAGAGTTCACCCGAATCTTCACAGATGCATTTACTTTCCCTAACGTGTTTCAGGTACTCATCAGTGGCTGTACTCAATGACGAGCGACGACGCTAGACGGGGACTTTCGTGTTAGCAGTCAAACGTTCTACTATTCGACCATCCATTCTATTTCAGACGTTAACTATGCACTTTATACGTGTAACAACTCGCTTTCTGTTGTTAATTTTAATAATGCATTTGACGATTTTAATTTCCATTCAAACATTACACTGATTTAGAATGTGTTGATGTTAATTTAGGATACAAATGAAGATTTGAAGCCTTTGTTTATTTGAAGAAGATTAAGTTTGGTTTAGTACAACAGGGGAAAGTGTTTTAATATGAAGAAAAGCAAAGATTAAGATGTGATGGTTAAAATTAAATCAGCTATTTTTTGGTAAAAAATGTTAACAGAGAAGACAATGTTTGTTTTAAGATGACAATTTGTAATTTAAGCTAAAACGAGTTGTTGAGGGGGTAATTTAAGATTTTAAAAAATCATGATTCCTGATGTAATTTCAGATGGAAATGTAGAATGAAAGATGGAATTGTGACAGTTATGAAAGAAATTAATAGTTGTAAAACATTACGACAAGAAACAAACAATATATTTATAAGAAAACTTTAAAATATCTTTGACGGAGAATGCTAGGACAGCCAGGAAATATAAACTTACAACAGCTGAGGACGAAAAACATAGGTTGGTCTTTCTCCAACACGCTTGCATTCCACTGCGTGTTAATCTACAGTACACGGCCTAGCAATCTGGCACGCACGTCTTAGCCCCATTAATATGTAAATGACGTTTAGAAACTCATACAAACTTTCATTTTTATCACTGTTTGACTGTCTAATATTTCAATTGATATATTTTTAAAATTAGATCTAAACACATGTTTTTAATTTTTCTTTAAACCAATTTATTTGAAAGTAAATCATACAGATAATTCATAATGTATTGTATGTTAAAAGTTCAATTTCAATTTACATCATCATTGCAATAAAAGATTTACCGAAATAACATCTACACGTAGAAACTTGTTAAGACTTTTATGCGGTTTGTTAAAACGGTATCACAATTTTGTAAGCTTAGTTACACACGAAAATAGTGCTATCTAAATAAACAATGAGACATTTAATTTTATTTCATACGATAATGTTCATAACAAGCATGATTTGTGGGAGGAGAGAGGGTTATATTTATATAATATTTAGTTTGTAGAAGGTGAATAAGTCGGTAATACTATACTAGGATCAGCTAATTGCCATTTTAAAAATGCATTTTCAAATATTAAGGAAATAAAATTATGTGTACGATATAATAGTGCTACTGTGGAAAATATATTGCAAAGGTTTTTTACAAACATGCAAATATGCAAACATGCATAACATTTATTTATAAAAAAAAACGTCGATGCAAATTAAATGCTTATAATATAAATCATACTATTAAAACAAACACTTTTACTTTCATCCAGGGGCGGAACTACAGTGCCGCCAGACCCCGCAATGCGGGGGGGGGGGGGGGGGGGGGGGGGGGGGGCCATGCCATTTAGGGGCCCAGAGCCGACAATTATAAATTTTTTTTATAGTTAAAAAAAAATTAAATTTTCTTTTATTTTTGACTTATGATTGTTTTGTAAAAAATTACCGTAGCTGCGGTTAGATTATCTTTATTCTATAGACACCACCCCACGCTCTTGTATACAGAGTTTCTTCCAGGCATCTCTTCGGGGGGGCTTTATCCCCCCAACCCCCCCCCCGAAAATTTTTTATCCTCTCCCCGAAGGAAATGAAATTTATTTATATAATTTATATAGAAAATATATACTTTTAACAGTGTCCGCCCCCCCGAAGAAAGTTTACCGACCCCCCCGAAAATTTCAAGTGCCCCCCCCCCCCCCGGAGAAAAAATTCTGGAAGAAACACTGCTTGTATATTCTTGTTCCCTTTGTTTTTAAAACACTGTGAAGGTCACAGTGAAAGCCGAGTCTTTCTCCTACAATTAAACTTATCAAAGAAAAGCAAATGTTCAAACCACTTCCATGACTTATTTCCCTTTTTAAAAAAAAAAAAATTCAAATAGGGGTGATCATAAGCTCCTTTTAATAGATTTATACTAAACAAATTAAAAACCAATTACTTCTCTTAATTAATATTTTTTATAAGTAATTACTAAAGAATGACATTGTATGTAAAGGAAATGTATTAAATCAATAACATTTAAAAATTAATAAAATAAATACAAAAAAAAAACCATAATAATAAACATAACACGAGACACCATTACTTATACAAAGCTTTCATGTTTTTTATTATTTTTGACCGACTGGATGTTAAGATGGCTTCTATCAAAAATTAATTAAAACTGATTTTCACTAAACACACTAATGCACTAACACACATAACATGATGTTGAAATTTTTTAAAATTGATGTATCTCAAATCCCTAACAGGCCAGTATAATGAGTATCTTATGTTCGTATTTTGTGATTGTATATATATATATATGTATATATATACATATATATATATATATATATATATATATATATATATATATATATATATATATATATATATATATATATATATATATATGGGTGGGGGGGCCTAAAAAATTTTTTTGCGGGGTGGCCCTTTTTTTCTAGTTCCGCCACTGCTTTCATCATGTATTTTTTGTACCAGGAAATATTGCCAGTTTCTAGGGTAGACCTTCATTCACTTGCAGGTTTACTGTATTTAGATAAATGTAACAAAATTTGAGGTACTACTAACTTGATGATGATAGAGATATAAAGGTTTACGAATTACATTATTATTATATAGATAAAATAAGCCGCCATTTAGTGTTATTCCTTCCGTCATTCCGTCGTCGGTATAGCCACTTTGTCTTCGCTAATACGCCGCGGGTTGGGGAAGGAGCAAAATATGGGCGGACGTCCGTTAAGTTATTGGCTATTTTTTTAATCGTAGATTAATTTTCGTGGATATCCACGTCGTCACCTTAGTGCTACCACCACTCGCGCACTTCGCAGTGCGATGAAGGTATTTCCATATCCACACCAATGTGACACAAAGGCCGGACATAAGCAAGTATATTATATATATATATATATATATATATATATATATATATATATATATATATATATATATATATATATATATATATATGTATGTATGTATATATATATATATATATATATATATATATATATATATATATATATATATATATATATATATATATATATATACACATTTATAAGAAATTACCGTAATGTCTGAAGTGTACGACAACATTCTTACGCGACCACTAGTTTTATACTAATAAATATGAGGTAAATGATGCTACTTGATAATAAAACTAACAGCACTGCCTTATACACCTGTGGCAATTGGGACATTACAACGTTTGTCGTGTCAATTACACGTCTTACAAAATTTCGCTTTTATTTGTAAGAGGTACATCGGGCAGAAAAATACGACGTTACTTTCCCAGATACGTGATTAGTAATTATAAAGGCCGGAGGAAGTAAAAGAGTCCCACAGTTTCTGAGAATTGAAGATTTTCGTAATGCTCCACTGCTCAATTATGTTATACGAGCCGGCCCGCGGCATAACATACGCCGCTATTTAGTTGTTGTTTTTTCTACTTTTCAGTAATTCATAATTTGTGAATTCGACAGTACCAACGCTGACACTGAAAATATTTCTTTAAAACACTTTAAGTAGCTCATTAAGGACCATAACCCACCCCCCCCCCCTTCCCCCCAATGTTTAAAATCGTTTCAAACTAAATTATCTGCCCCTAATAGCCGTCACTAAACCCGACTCCACGAAGGTAAACATAGCACGAACCACAGCTCACTAAGACCATGTAGGGGTGGGGATGGTAGGGAGCGCGTTTACAGCTTGTTTTCTAGCGTCTCCCAGAAGAGAATTATATATATATAGATATTACAAGATTTATGTGGGACGAAGTGGCCAAGCGAGTTTGAATTCGGGTTCAAGTCAGTAAAACTTCCCCGAGTCTACCCAGCTCTGACGGGTACTTAAGTCAAGGCGGCTGGGCAACTCTATCACTTCTGAAACAGATGAACTCTACTTCATCTACCCGATGTATTTTGGGCATGAACAAGAAAAAGATGATTTCATGATTTATATTATTATAAAATAAAGTGCGATTGAACGATTTTTTACGATGGATCACCTTCACTGCTTGTGTGATCACTAGTATTATTATTGTTGAATTGAGTGATGTTGATAGATGCCTCTTGTGTTGTTGGTCTCTCCCTGTGAAGTTGATTAAAGATTTTTAATATGATGTATCTCTAAAATTCTCTCATACTGCTAAAACAATTAAACCACAGCATTCTGTATATTATTAGGGAGGCGTGTGGTCCGGAAAGAGGATATGACTGAGTCCCGAGTTCGAACTCTTGAAGATAATCCATATAGCTAGAATTAAAATGTGGATACTTGTGTCCGTACTTAGTAAATCTTTGATGAAGTTTTACTTAGCCTGTCAGTGTTTGTTTTAATTTACTACACTTTTTTAAGTTTTTAAATAAAATAACATTATTAACTTCATCTCTAATATTCGAAAAATTTTTAAGATTGGTTTACTTTTAAAAAACTACACGACGGGGAGAGGGGGGGGGTGCTTATTCCTTGTAACATATAAAAAGTATTTTATCAGTTTAGGTTTCTGTTACTATGCGTGGTGATGTGATGTGTATGAAATGTGTGAATGTAGGACGGATCACTGTGTTTACACCGTAGTATTGCGCGAGGCCGGTTGTGTTGACGTGTATCCTAATATATAAAATCCCAAGTGCGCACTTCTCTCTCTCTCTCTCTCTCTCTCTCTCTCTGTCTGTCCGCAAAATATTTTCGCCGGACATCACATCAGAATCTGCAGCGATATATGAAGAACTTTATGCGGACTTATGTTGAAAATAATATGTTAGATGTTTTAAATGTATTACCGCAATTTTATTTAAAGAAGAAAAATAAAAAAATAACGGCGTATTGGAATGTAGAAAAATAATTTTAATTATGCAATGTTTATACTTGGGACAAGAACGCATTTAACAATGACGTCGCTTATTGTTTACACTAAAAAAGAGCACGAAACTTAAAACGTCAACTTCCGAGTTTAGAATAAAATAAAGAAATGAGCTATTTCATTCAAATATGATTTAGAGCTAGATTCTACGTACGCTATGAAATGTATACAATACGATTTTCTCGGCCTAAACTTATATAAGTTTTTATATTATCTATTTGGAATCTAGGGATAGATCTAGATCTCGATTCTAGATCTAGACTAGATCTACGGAAAAAGTAGACGTAGACGCTAAGATCTGGATTTATACTAGAATCTAGATCTATCTACTAAAAACAACAGAACTACCATTGAACAGCCGGGTTTTTAAAGAAATCTTTTAAGTCTCTTAATTTTAAGTCTCTTAATCAGCGAATGCATTTAATATGGCATGGTTTCCGATGAATAAATGAACTATTTCATTTAGATCTATAGATCTATTCATAAAAACCTAATAAAAATAAATCACTTTAAAAACTAGAAGAATACCGTGGAATAGCCGAGTTTTTTACGGAATCATATCCCCGCGGCAACGCGCGGGTGGCGGGTACGCTAGTGTTATTGTAAGAATGAACATGGTAAGACGAGAAGGTCGTGTGATCGCGGGTGTGTTATGAGGGACAGAAAGGTGGTGTGTAGAGGTGAATGTGGATGGTGGTAGTTCACTGTTGGAAGTGAGAGGTAGCTTGGTTGTGACTAACAACAGATAAATAGATCATATTAAACTGAATTTAACCCCAATGATTGATGTTGTTGTATCCATATCGTTGTTGGTACGGAGAGTGCCCTCTCACTACGATTACAAATGCAATCATCCATACAAACTGACCTGTTACTCTGCCTAGTTCTTCGGACCCTCCTGATTATACAGACCACGGCAGTCACAATGAGAGCAACCAATACAAGACCGCCAATAGTCGTGCCGGCTATGATTCCGATAAATCCGGAGTCAACTGAAATTAACGTTTATTAAGTCTCACGTTCAATGGAGAAGTAGATTTTATGGGATTGTCTTGACACACAGTTATCGTTAATATTGGTGAAACAATTTTATACAACATAAGACACGGTCCTAGTTTATTTAGCTTGAAAACATACTACTATAACTGTTTCCTTTAATGCGTTTTAATTTTTTTCACGAGCCCCTATTTACGATCCTGTTATGTTGAGAAGGGCGTACGTATTGCAGTATTCAAGTATTTCAAAAAGCGTCGTCTTTTTATGTTAAACTGCATTTGCTGTTTTCTATCAAAGTACGGTATTTGATATATTTTCGACTTCGTAATTGTTCTCAATCTGTAATCTTATTTAACAAGCTCGTTTTAAATGAAAAAATTAGATGCTGACGAGTAAAAAATGTATACCATCAATGAAAACATATAATCGTTTGCAAACGTAGCGATGAACATCTAAATAAGACGAAGTTTCAGAATTATTTGCAATTTTAATCAAAAGAAAATGACAAATGTAAATGTAACCAAAAAGAAAAGAATCTCGTAAAATTATACATAGTACCTAGCTGGTTTTATTTAATCATAAATAAAATAAATATATTACCGTTTCAATTATTTTGTATTCTATAGATTGTCTTGAAAATACGAAAGGCACTTAAAAGCTCTAGGATTTAGTTAGGAATTTTTATATGTTGATTAAAGATCAATTTGCATTTTAAGAGGTAATAATTTTTTTTTTAAATGTGTTTATCTCGGCATTATTGCAAACTGACGTGATCGATTGGTTTACATCATGCATTTACGTAGGGGGTGGGGGAGTAGGGGGGGGGGAGAAAATGAGTGGTTCAAGTACAGAACTGAGTCAACTTCATAAAATTATGATCCGTACAGCGAATCCTTGTGTAAATCATATTTGCAGAGTTTTTGTAAATATGAAAGTGCATTTGGGTGCGATAGAAGCTACATAATTAAATCTAATGATACGCGTGAAATGAATAAATTGTTTCTGACGAACATTTAAATTTTGTTTTTAGAAAATATAATTTAATAATACGATTTATTAACTTACCAAATTCACAATAGTCAATGCTACAATAGCAGGATCTGCATTTTTCTAAGGGATAAAAAATATTTTTAAAAAACATTGGTTCTTATTACGACCAAATACAAAATGTTGCTATTGAATTGTTTAGAATTTTTTCCAATTTTAAAAGTTGTTTACGATTAATGCACTTTATTATTTTACTCGTTTTTTTTAATTACATTTTAATTACATTTCTTTTTAATAGTTATAATTTTATAAGCATGATTAAAATACTAATAGTTTTAACACTTTTTTTCTGCAGAAATATAAAATTAAAAAAAAAAAATCCTTACAAATTTACATATAACACAAATATTTAAATTTATCTTGTACGATTGAAAAATGCTCTGAGTAAGCCAATGAGTTACATGTTAATAAGACTTTACTGTTCTGTAAACGAAGATGCAAACTATGTATAGTGGTTAATATTATTTTTTTTGTGTGTCTAAGCAACATTTTGTTGTTGATACAATATATACTTTAATAACATAATCCTTTTTGAATTATATCTTTAATCTTATAAAAAAAAAACATTTAATAAAACGTTTAATAATTTATTTTATAGCGCGATTTTATTACCCACACGTCATTTAACTGACGTGGGGGATTTTTTTTTTTATGGGACATTAAGTCTTTTGGTGAAATGTGCCCCTCCCCCCACCCTTGTCGATTAACCCTACAACAAATTGTAAATTAACTTAATGATAGGCTTAGCTTTAAGGTTAGAACTGTTAGAGACATGTTTAGGGATAAATGTAGAGTTGTTGATCAGGACAATATGTTAAGGTAAATGAATAGTGTTTGAATACTTGTATATATGTGTGTGTTTGTGTGTGTGTATGTCTGTCTGTCATTGTACATGATCCTATCAATTACCATCAATAATATTATAGATGGAAGCATGCATCACCGCCTTATTGAAGTATTCGATGTAAAATATCGCTTTAAAGAAAGATAAATGAAATAAAACATAACAAATACAACGCCGTGCTTTGAATAAAACATTAAGCTTACGTGAGTGTGATAATACCGTAGTAGACTGATTTGATTAACCACACATACGTCTCATTATTAAGATACGCCCTTGGAAATCCTGGAGTTACTATCAAGCCAGACAGCTTATCTAATACGTTTGAAGTTCCTAGAAATATATTTTAAAAAAAAGGTTAAATGGTATATTGTTATATTAGCTAAAAACTTAAAAACGTATATGTATTTGTTGTTTTTATATCTCTACATAGGCCTATATTTTGCCAAACAGTTAAAAAAAAATCCTATTATTTTTTTTTCTCAAGCACACATTAGGTTAACGTATCAATATATTAGTACGAGCACTCTCGTACGTTGATTCAGACTCTTGTACTATAAGATTGTGCTTCTTTAGCGTTTACTCGCACAAGAACATTAGCAATTCAGCAGTCGGTTTCATTTTCAAAGTCTTTTTTACCTAGATGGTATCTATCCACAATATTAGAAAAACTCTCTCAATTTAATACACTAGTATGTTTGTTAATTCAGTAGTTTATATATGCCCAAATTGACACGTTCCCGAATGCGACAAACACCCAAAACGGGCAACTGGCTTTCATTAATTTGACCCATGCGGGCAAGTGTCCATTCAGGAAAACAGTCTTCGGGCAAACGGCATTCATGCAAGTGTCTTTCGGGAATCTTCCTCTTGATTTTAAAATTGTTACATAAAACTAAGACCTATTCTTGTTTTTGTTTTTTTAAAAAGTGTCGTTGCATAAATTCCTAGAATCGACACATTTGACCCACTGGAACATTTTCGCTTAAAAGAAAATCTCATTACTGCACACACGCTGTGTAAAAGGGCTGGTAAGTAGGTCACCAACCAGTTCTACGGCTCAATAAAACATTCATGAGCCATATAACTGGTTGGTGACCTACATACCAGCCCTATTGATGAAGAGTAGTGTTACACTATAACTTTTGAAAAAAAATCCCGGTTATGCATTATTTTTAAAATGTAACAAGAAAGCAATATTTTATTAATTGATTACACATATTTGCACACTAAATCTTCTATATTGGTTTTTTAGCATATTTACCTCTCATCTCATAGTATTCATAAAAGCCTTTATATCTACGTCCGCTACTGGTTTTCAAAACAAGGAACATGAAGTTACGTCTGGTCGCTACTGGCTCCAGAAATGATGAAGTGCAGAACATTTGAATTGGCGATGAATTATTTGTAACTCCTTCGTAAACTGTAAGATGATCATAGTTACAGCTACCTTCGAACTGAACATCTGTAATACTGTAAGAAAAGACAGGTATTTCAAGTTGAACACCATTCTACAGTGTGGGTAATTAACACTACCTTATTTCACTAAATATGTCTATTTTTTTTACATCATTAACTAATGAAAACTCACGTGTTATTAGTAGACTGTGATGACGCAAGAGTACGTCAGACATGTTTAGCAGATATAGTTTAGCAGAAACAGACTATAGGCCTAGGTGGTTGGTTAGAGAGGCCAATGGGCGCACAGGACTGACCGGTCACGTGGGACGGTCAGCTGACCACTGAAGCGTGGGCCACTGTTAGGCCGGGAGATCATGATTAGCTAGCGAGGGCAGAAGGTGTTAGGTTGTAGAATGGAGCAGACGTAGTTATGTAGAGAACAGTTAGAATGTAGATAGTGGTAGGATTGATCATGGGAGTACGTAGTTAGTGGTATAGTGAACAGTCAGTAGTATAAGTAAATAGTGGAGAGTATAGCTAGTTAGGTAGAACATGATTATATACATATGAATAAAGAACTTTGTATTTGGAACTTGAACTGTGTGTTATTGGATTCATTCGTTCCGCCTTCTTAAAAATCCCCACCCTCACAACTGGTGGAGCGCGGGTCGAGGACAGGAAGACAGTATATCGGTTTACTCATGACGGAGTACATCTGGTGTACAGCTTCCTTAAACTCAACACAACAGCGGGTTTCTTCAACCGGAACGAGTGTGGATTACCAATACAAGGGAACAGTCAACATGTCCAAAAAGATAAGTACCTTCCAACATTTTTTTAAACGTTTGGGTTTATACCCGTGCTGGATAGTTTGTGCCAGCGGTTTTTCTGCCTTATACATTCTATTGTTACGCCCTGTTGCCTTAGTTTTGTTTACTTTCCTCAACACACACACACACACATACACAACCATGGAGGCAGAGTTTCAATGCTATAAACGGGGCATAGCATTAGACAAGACAGAAGAAGAATTTGAAACATCTTTAGAGAGTAGGTTAAGAAACAAGATAGTCAAGATAGTAAGAAATGTCAAGAACAAAAGCATAGTTAGCATTAGAATCAGTGAAACAAATAGATAACACGCATCTGCCCTAGAACATCAAGCCCATGACCAAGAATGTGACCCCGACCGTCCCCCTAAAAGATTTTGAACAACGGACAAAAGTGAAGTCAAGTCGAGTTTTTGTGTTGATCTAAGTAGTCGAGGAAATCGACGTGAAGTCGTACAGTCAGAAGTCAGTGTAGTCAAATCTGAAGTCAATTGTGTTATTGAAGTCAGTGAAGTATAAGTCAGAACTGAAGTCAAAGAAGTTATTTGAAGTCAGTCAAGTCAGTCAATGTTGTTAAAGTCGTAGTTGAGGTCATAGTGACGTAGTTGAAGTCATGTTGCAGTCAAAGAAAAGTCTTTGAAGTTATAAAGTCGTTGAGGTCATAGTGAAGAAGTGAAATCGTCGAAGTTATAGTGAAGTCTTTGAAATCAAAGTGATGTCGTTGAAATCGTTGAAGTCAAAGTTAAAGTCTTTGAAGTCGAAGTAAGGTTAATCTAAGTCAGTCGTTGAAGTCTTTGAAGTCATATTGAAGTTGTTGAAGTCAAAGTGAAGTCATATTGAAGTTTTTGAAGACATATTGAAGTCGTTGAAGTCATATTGAAGTATTTGAAGTCATATTGAAGTTGTTGAAGTCAAAGTGAATTATTTGAAGTCATATTAAAGTAGTTGAAGTCAAAGTGAAGTCTTTTAAGTTGAATTGAAGTGAAGTCGTCGAGGTCAAGTTAGTCTTGAAAGCGAAGTTAGTCGTCAAGTTGAAGTAATTGAAGTCGTCAAAGTGGAATCATTCGTTAAATTGAAGTCAGTCAAGTTACTGAAGTCAAAGTGAAATAAGTCAAGTTACTGAAGTCAAAAGTGAAGTCAGTTAATTATTCAAGCCAGCCAGTTTAAGTCAAGTCAGAAGTCAGATAGTGAGAGCTGCTCCACTATATGATTACGTGTTGAAATATTGATTTGAAATGGCAGAATATTATTGATATACACTCACATGTCTATTCTTTTTGTGAAGCTATTTCTAAGCTCTGGTAGTGTTTACGTCTATTGAGTTTATTAGGCTTTACAGATTGTTGTTAGATTAGAGTGTACTGATTTTTTATTTGGTTATGTTGTAATGTTATTTTTTAATGTTGTTATGCCGCCAGACAGGTGTTCAGCACGTATAAATTTGGGATTGAGTTTTTTTTAATGGAAGGTACCTCTGTCTGAATACTTGTCTGCGCGGGCAATAAGATGGTCATATAAAGCCATTGCTCATAGTCTCGAAATGCCATTTTCAGACCCACTACGCTTATTCAGAATGAGACGAGATCAAGCAGACACTTCAAAGAATGCCGCCACCTGAAGCCCTGATTACGTTGAATCACCTGGACAGCGAACAGCCCTGCTTAACAGAGAATTGCCCTGGTCAAAACAGCGGACGCATCGCCACCGCTTCGCCCCCGCACTGGGGTTGAATAACAGACCGCCAGCTACGTACACCTACGTCGGCAGATACAAAGGGTAGAAGACCCATCGTCCAAGTTCCCAGCGTCGGAACGTTACGTCATTGTTCGCCACCGCATCAGACAGCTCCAGTTCATCGTATAATCACTCTACGTGGACATCTCAACCAGCGTTGAGTTTGTTGCGTCATCACATTGACCAACGAAAGTTACGCCTACACCCGCCTCACGGGAATTTACATCAAAACTCGCCACAACCCACCCACCACAGAGGAACGCCAGCAATTACATAACACTTACACAT